GGCCCTGTCGGTTAATTTAAGAGCTACTAACTTTCCATAAGCTTAGTTCACAGTGACACAGGCCTTTGACTAGTGCAAAGAAACATGGTTTAGAAATAAGCAAAGTTTTAAGCAGTTTGAAAAATGTTCCTTTGAAACAAATCATATTTGTGACTTTCTCCAGGCTGGATAAGCAGGGAGACAGGCAAAAACCTGCCTACGTGTATCCTAATCTATCTGTAACACCACCCCCAAAACGTGTATAACTAGCTGTGCATTTTAGATGTCTAATCACTTGTGTACTTAACCTGCATATATCCACATGGATGGTACTCACATGGCACAGCACTGAGCTGTACAGGAGACCATGGGGTGACAATGGGGAAAGCAGAAGTGAGTCCTACAAAATAGATATAGTCATTTCTCCATATAAAGATAGGAAGCTTCCTTCTTTGTTATAGCTAGATCCTAAGTATTTATCATCGTTTCCTCCCATTATCTCCAGGTTCTATTTACGTAGGATTTCCTGGGTCTCTCCATCTACTGTGACTACTGTGTAGGGCACCTGTGTTGTCATCACACCAGGGAAGGCAGAAAGATGCCAGTATATATCCGGAAACATCCCCTGGAGATCCCTCCACCTTCTGAAAAGGACTGGATTAAGAAGGATGAGGAAGAAAATTTCTTCCTGCAGGATCCCGATCAAATCTTTGATTCATTGCCTCAGCCTTTCCGGATGATCAATAAACTGGTGACCCTAGTATTCGAGCAGGCCTGGGAAATCATTGAGAAGAGGGAGGCACTCCGAGAGGCACAGACACTGAAGGTCAAGCCCACATTGTACCTGCCCACAGCTGAATTCCAGGTACCGAGACCCTTCACAGCACAGCTGCCACCTGTCATTGCAACAGTTTGTCGAGGCAGTGTCAGTTCAGTTCCTTTTGCTTTCTTCTTCCATTGTCACCCCTCTGCCCATTTAAATTCCCGAGACTCTATTAGCATTTCCCTTGCTTTCAGTTTTATTCCACATGGCTACAGCTCTAAGCTTGCTCATCTGAGAAGTACAGGACATAGTCCATTTCAGAGTCCATCACACCTTCCTGAAAGAGGAGAGGTGGCATTAAATCATGTCAGGCTCACCCTCTGCCTCTCTGAGCCAGACTGACCCTAGCGCCTGCTTATTCTGGAGAAGTTGATGAGTCTCTTGCTATCGTATGGACAAACTCAACTGTGTTTTAAAAATAATACTTTAGAAATGGTGCAGAGCAACATCGAATGCAGCTGCACGGTGCCCAGGGACTGCACGGGCTTCCTGAGCAGAATGTCTGCATTTGCGCCGCTCTCCCTGTGGGGGTAGCTGGATGTGGGGAAGCTCTAGTGCTGCTGAACGGTGCCTGGAGATTGAAGGCTTTTGTTTATCCCTAGCACTGGCGGTGGCAGGGCGAGCTTCCCTTGAAGATGTGCCTCACCTTTGATATTGGTGGGATCTTTCTGAGATTGGAGCTAGACTTCATGCCCTAGTGAGATCATGGGATTTTGCTGGCAAATGGCTGGTGTTGCTGATCAGTCCCCCTGTCAGGGGGTGGCAGGGCAGGGTCATGTTCTCTTCTGCTTTGTTTTTCATCTCTGCAGGTGATGGGAAGAGCCAACTGCCTTGCAGCCTCTGGACAGCATGTCTTTGTTGGGCTCTCCACAGGGCTTGCAGTTTTCAACATGCCCAACTGTAAGCGGGTCTGTGCTTGGGAGTCAGCCAAGCTAGAGATTTGTGCCATCCGTGCCTCCAACCTTGGCAATGAGACCCACCTTCTCGTTACTGTTGATGAGATGGGTAGGTGCCCCATGAGCTTCCTCAAGTCCCACGTGGGGAGAACTTTGAGGACAAGCTTGTGCACTATGATGGAATGGAGGTGGTGGGTGGCGGTGGGGAAAGTGGCATCTACTCAGTAGAAAAGAGCTAAAGCAGGATGGAAATAAGCATGACTAACACATTTCTGAGAGGGTCCTGCAAAAAATGGGGACTAGTCAACAGATTTCAGAGTGGGGGGTGGCCCCATGGCAAGTGCCCTCCCTGTGGCGCAACAGAGGTTGGTCACATGGGGGAAGCAGCACACTCAGCACCTCTCACATTCTGTAGCAATACCCTGGGCCAGTCAAGGAGTAATGTTGCTGGGCTTCAAGGCGGGGGCTTTCATCCAGCCCTTCCACTTCAGGGACAGTCAGTGTGCTGCAGTGTGGAGGTTCGGATGAGGAGAAAAGATCTGTCAGCTCCATATTGAGTCCAATAGCCCCACCATGATACTAGTGTATGCAGCAGTCCCAGAAGGGTCCATTGGCTTCTGGTTGAGTCCAACACTAATGAAGTGGGCTTTAGTTCTCTTTCCATTAGAGAGAAGAAAGTTGGATCTGAGCAAATCCCCTTGGAGCACAGGCCATCTCCGTGCTGGACTTGGCTAATGTGGCCATCCCAGGGTGTGCGTGGGGGAGGACGTGTGAAATCCCACATCCTCGGTGCTGCTGTAACACCCCTAGCAAGACAGATGCATAGATGCTTTCCAAGTTCTGAGCATTGCTGCACTGACCCCAATAGCTGAAAAGTGCATGAAAATGCCTGGGGCTCCCACCCACCTTCCCCTTTCCCATTTGAAGCTCTGTTTCCTTGGGGAGGAAGGCTGGATGCAGGTCTCTCTGCTTATGTCTACACTGCAGCTAGCAGCAAGCCTCCCAGTAAGCAGACAGACCTCACGCTAGTGGGGCTCAAGTTAACACTGTAAAAATAGCAGTGTGGATGGGGCAGCAAGAGCAGCAGCTCAGACTAGCCACCCGAGCTCAGCGCCAAGGGGTCGGGTGGGCTTGAACTCGGCCAATAGCCTGAGTTGCCATCTGTGCCATGACGTCCACACCGCTATTTTTAGCATGCTAGCTGAAGTGGAGAGAGCATAAGTCTGTCTGCCCAGTCTGGGGAGCACACTCCCGCCGCAGTGTGGGTATTCCCTCTGGCTGGGGCCATCAGCACTGCTCTGTGTGTCACTAGACAGCACGCTGTGGCCGAGTCTTCTGAGAGCCACAGAAGGCACCTAGTCCTAGTGCTGTTACTGCATCCTCCAAAGGAGCTGAGCTGCGCCCCTCACTCTCTTCCCACCCACCTCTCACCTGTTTTTCTCTTCCAGGACTTGCCCGACTCTTTTATTTTCACAGGGACAGCCTGCTGCTCATTAAAGTCCTAAACGAAGTGGTAAGTCCTCTGTGTGTGCCACGGGCACTGAGGCGAAAGCCTCTGTGTAGTAAACAATCATGATTACTAACAGCACTCAGGAAACACACTGCTAAGGGCAACAGCTGGAATGGAGATCAGAGGTCCTGTTAACTGGGTCAATGGTGCATAACTCACCTATAATCCTCTTTGAACCCATATTATCCCTAGTACAGACCCCAGGTTATGCCCAGAATCTTCTCTGAGATGTCAAAATCCCAGGGGTGCATCAGCATTCAGCAACAAACTAGCTCAACACCAAAGAAGCCTGTCTTCAAATAATGTGGAGTCTGACTCTGGCAGACTGAGCCAGAACGACCCAGGCACAGGGATAGGAGTGCTGGGCTGGAGGGGCTCGGGAGGGGGGCTCTGGGCTGGAGGAGCTCAGGCAG